GGGGTAGAAACCCAGAGAACAAAGGGTTCCCGCCTTATGCAAAAGATATATAAAGGGGTGGAAGAGAACAAAGGGGAGAGAGGAGCCATCATGAAGAATCCCCTAGCTATCACCTGAGCTGGAACAAGAGCTGTACCAGGGGAAAGAATTGTGCCCAGGCCTGGAAGGTGTCCAGCCTGAGAAAAAAACTTACTGAAGCATCTCTGAGGGTGAGATTATCTGTATTCAGTTTGATTAGACATCGATTTGCACATTTTATTTTATTTTGCTTGGTGACTTACTTTGTTCTGTCTGTTACTACTTGGAACCACTTAAATCCTACTGTCTGTATTTAATAAAATCACTTTTTATTCATTAACTCAGAGTATGTATTAATACCTGGGGGAGCAAACAACTGTGCTTATCTCTCTATCAGTGTTATAGAGGGCGAACAATTTATGAGTTTACCCTGCGTGAGCTTTATACAGGGTAAAACCTATTTATTTGGGTTTAGACCCCATTGGGAGTTGGGCATCTGAGTGCTAAGGGCAAGCACACTTCTATGAGCTCTTTTCAGGTAAACTTGCAGCTTTGGGACAAGTGATTCAGACCCTGGGTCTGTGTTGGAGCAGACGGGAGCAGTCTGGCTCAGCAAGACAGGGTGCTGGAGTCCTGAGCTGGCAGGGAAAACAGAAGCAGGGGTAGTCTTTGCACATCGGGTGGCAGCTCCCAAGGGGGTTTCTGTGATCCAACCCATCACAGGCCCAGACTGAGATCCCAGCACGTTCCACAGGCCCCTGAGTTGCCATCAGATGGACTTTCAGCCTCGCTCCTTATTGCCCTGGGGGAGCTGCTGGGGGAGGAGGAGATTTACCTGCTCACAGACAATTTTAACAGTTCTAAAGCTTCAACTTTTTTGAAATCTCAGTGTCTAGTGTCATTAAATAGTTCTGGTCTGACCAAAATATTGTCTGATCCCCCCATAATTTCCCACAACCGTGACAATTTTAATTGGAATGAAATGCTTAAAACCCAGATTGTTGTGCAGCTGTGAAACTTTAAATCAATAAATATAAAAATTGTTTAAAATAAACATTATCTGTCAAAATTATATAGTATTAAAAAAAATTCTGCCCAGCCTGACTATCACGCCTTAGACACACAGCTCCAGCTCCTGCAGGCTCATCCTCACAGGGGGATGCCTCAGTGACCCTCCCCACCAGCACAGGGGCTGATTGCAGGACCGGAGCCCTAGTGGTACATTTTTTTCACTAAAGCCTCCAGGGGTGAAATTGGTTGGGTCCTTCCTGCTCAGCAAACAGCATGAATCGTTTTCAGGAAGGGAAACACCCCCTTGCTGCTGCAGGCGGGGCATAGTGTGAATTCAGGAAATTGAAACAAAGCCTGTTCCACTGCCCAGAGGGAGCCATGGCTGCAGAGAACCCCGTGGAAAGTCTCCAGGAGGAAGCTACATGTCCCATCTGTATGGAGCATTTCACAGAACCTGTCATTCTGGAGTGTGGGCACAATTTCTGCCACGCCTGCATCAGCCAGTGCTGGGAGGGAACCGACACAGCCACCTCCTGCCCTCTGTGCAGAGAAACTGTGCAACCGGGAAACCTCAGGCCCAACCTGCAGTTAGGAAACATGGTAGAAATCGCCAAGTGGCTGAGTTTACAGGCAGCAAAGGGAGCAGGAGGGGACGGGGTGTGTGGGGAACACCTGGAGGCTCTGAAACTGTTCTGTGAAGAGGATGAAACCCCCATCTGTGTGGTGTGCGACAGATCCCGGGCTCACCGCGCTCACACGGTGGTTCCCATACAGGAGGCTGCCCAGGAGTACAAGGTAGGGAATTGTTTTCAAATTTAATGGGTAATAACTTTTGGATTTTAATTACAGGCTAATTTCACTAAATGTTACTGTGACAGGTGTGACTCATCATTCAGCTCTATAAAGTCTTCATTGTACAGGGAGATGCTATAACAAAATTCAGAGGGGTAGCGGTGTTCTGTATTCACAAAAACAATGGGGAATTGCAATCTTAGTCTTTAAGATGCCACTGGACTCGTTGTTTTTATAACAAAATTAATGATCTGGCAGTGTGGAAACAGAGACAAAATATCAAGTCTTTAAAGCAGGGTCTACCTCACCCCTTCCCTGAGGCCCTGCCCCTTCCCCCCAAAGCCCCGCTCACTCCATACCCCCCTCTCTCTGTTGCTCACTCTCCCCCACTCTCACTGACTTCACCAGTTTGGGGCAGGGGGCTGGGTTTGGGGTGTGGGTGCAGGCTCTGGGCTGGGGCCATGGGGTTTGCAGTGTGGGAGGGGGCTCTGGGCTGAGCCTGGGGCAGGAGGTTGGGGTGCATGAGGGGGCTCTGGGCTGGGGCAGATTATTGGGGTGCAGGAAATAGCACGGGGTGCTTTTTCTGGGAGGAGGGTCAGGGCTGGGGCAGAGGGTAAAGGGTGCAGGAAGGGGTGCTGGGTGCAGGAAGGGGTATGGGGTGCTGGGTGCAGG